AAAGAAGAAGATGATGTTGACCACTCTTTTATTTTGTTGACTGAACACGAAGTGAGCTGTGAGCTAATCCAGAAAACTGATTTCTTTATTAAAGCCCAAATCAAATTTCGAAGCCCATTTGTCTTGACAACAAGTAACACCGTTTCAACATCTAGTCTCTCCAGATGAGAAAAAAAAAACGAAAGGGAAGGATAAATTGTACGGTCCAGAAATGTTGGGCATTTAGCAAAATATGTGTCGCCGTGTTGGTATGAACTATGAAGACTTATCGTTACAGTGATGCGATTTACCACCCTTCAAACATAAGTTTGAAGAATAAGAAAAGTAAAGATTATCTTGTAAGTTTCTTTCCTTTTCCTCTCTAATCTTTTCATGTATTTGATCTGCAAAAAACAAAGTAGACATCTTTATATAATTATAGATCCTCCGTGACAAGCTGGAAAACCCAGTTTCGTATTTGATGCCCAAAAGTAATTCAATGAATCCAAACCAATCAAAGTCTGAGTTTTTTTTCTTAATCTGATTTGGGGTTTGTTACTGGGAAATTGTATGATTGCTAAATCAAGTTAATGTAAATATGAATTACATAACTTCACAACGATCGAATGGTGAATTTTGCCTCATTTTTTTTTCTCAGATCCAACATGAGCATGAATAACAATGAAGGGTCCAAGATCATGGAGAGTACAAAAGAAAAGACTGAGAATCAAATTTGGAGAGAGCTTCCTTTAGAGCTTCTGAGCTCAGTAATGGCTTATCTTGAAATCAAAGATAACATACGAGCTTCTATTGTATGCAAATCGTGGTACGAGGCCGCAGTTTCGGTTAGGGTCATAGACCAGCCTCCTTGGCTCATCTACTTCCTTAAATCAAGAAACTCTTACGAGTTTTACAATCCAACAAGCTGCAAGAAATATACAATGGAGCTGCCTGAATCTTTAGTTGGCGCCATTGTTCGTTACTCTAGAGATGGTTGGCTTCTTATGAGCAAAAACATTTCATCAGACTTTGTCTTGTTTAATCCATTTACCATGGATCTTGTGGTCTTGCCTTATCTTGAGTTGTGGTATGGTTACCAATTAGTGGGATTCTCTTCTGCTCCTACATCAAGCAGTTGTGTGGTGTTCACAATCAAGGATTATGATCCGGGCCATGTCACCATCCGGACTTGGAGTCCCGGTGAAACTACATGGACTTCAACGCAGGTCGGGTCTCAATTCCTTGACGTTAAACATAATTATGTTGTCTTCTCAAATGGTTTGTTTTATTGTCTCAACCTAAGAAAGTACCTCGCGGTTTTTGATCCATCTTTACGGACATGGAATGTCCTCGATGTACTGCCACCACCTATATGCCGCGGTTACATAGATGATGAGAGTTGGTATGAAGGAAAGTTCATGGTGGGTTATAAAGGAGACATATTTCTCATATGCACATATGGAAACGAGGACCCGTTGGTGTTTAAACTCGATCTTACACAAGGTATTTGGGAGAAGAAGGAAAATCTTGGTAGTTTAACGGTTTTTGTGAGTACTATGTCGTGTGAACCGAGAACTTATGTCCCCGAGAGGATGTTAAGGAATAGTATCTACTTCCCGAAGTTATGTTACAATGAGCCGCGTTGCGTGGCATATTCGTTTGATGAAGGCAGATACCATCCGCGTGTGCATAATCTTGACTGGGAAAAGATACACTCTTCTGAGAACATTTGGATCGAGGCTCCTAAGAACGCCTTTGAGCTAGTTTAAAAGCAAATGGCAATTGTTTGAATGCAGATTTCTTGAGTTTGGTCGGAGTTAAGAGGAGGATTAGAGGTAAGAGTTCTTTATAGTTAATTGTGAAAACACAAGAACTATAGATATATATGATGCAGTAGATTATAGCACAAGAATTCTTCAAAAATATTTCAACTAGATTTATCTTTTAATGGTAACTTACAAGTCTACCAAATCAAAGTACTTACAAGTATCTCTTAGAAAATCTAGTCTCTCACAAGCCTCTCAAGACCATACAAGTCTTAAAAGCATCTCTCTTTATTTCCTTACAAGGAACCCTAAAACCCTTTTTTATCTTAGAAACTTTTAGCACTACAATGCATAAGTTTCTAAAGAGGCCATCGACATCTATTTATAGTTATAGACTCAATGCCTTACAATTTCCATTCTCAAGATGAAACTAATTTCC